ACTTACGATAGAGCATTAAGGAAGAAAGGTAGGTTATAAAATTATATTATCTCAATCATGTAGAGGAAAATGCTTAGTACAAGGCTGAAAATATAGATGTCTAAAATATTAATGATGGTTGCTTCTAGGCAGAGAGAAGAGGTGATTTTCTTCCCTGCTTCCCTAGTATGTCTATAATTTCTGAATATTTTTTCCTTAAGTATTAGTTTGCTAACCCAGAGGGGATTTTTAAAATCGTTTTAAAAAGTGTATTTTTGAAGTAGAGACATTTTTACGCTCAAACCCAAATGTTCCCGCCTCGATATAATCGCATGTCCTCTAAATTAAAAAATAACAACCCCTTCCTCTTGTACTTTGTCATTTGTTAATTTGTCCTTCCAGCAAATATATGTTATACTTGATGCTTGAAATAGGCAATGTAACACGTATTCTCTGACTTAGAAAAGGCCCAGTTTATGGGACAGGTCAACATGTGATTAACAGTGAGTACAAAACACGTATAATACCCAATGCATACATTTCCACAGGGGGTTGGGACCACAGAGAAAGAAGTAACTAACTTGCCTTATCTGTGAGGTAGCAATGAGTTAGCTTGTAAAGTTCTCAATGGCATTCGCTGGGAAGGTAGGGACTGGTATTTATGTAGAATAAAGGCTAAGCGACCTGCCGACCAGCCGGTAGCTAAGATGCGCACTGACCACTATGGAGCAGACGGTCAACCCAGGAGCTGCCAAGCTGCAATGACTTGGCAGTTGCTGTTCTTGAGTGATGCACCCAGAACCAGAGAGGAGGGAGCCCGATTCTGGGGTGCATCACCTGAGAACCGCCCTTTCGCAATCAGGGATCCCTCAGGGGATGTTGGAGAGCTGGTTTCAGGGCCAAGGAGGGACCTTGGAAGGTTGGCGGCTGGGGAGGGACCGCTGGAGGGCTCCAGGGCATGTCCCGACCATCTCGCCCAGTCCTGATCGGCTGGACCACAGTAGCAAGCTAACCTCCCGGTGGGAGCATCTGCTTCCTGGTGGTCAGTGCACATCATAGCGACTGGTCGGATGGTCAAATGAATGGTCGGACACTTAGCCTATCAGCAGGGGGAATGTCCCTAAGGTGGAAGCTTACCTGGGTGTTTGAAGGAATAGTCAGGAGTGGCTGGAACAGAATGTGAAGGAGGAAGAACAGCAGAAGGAGGTCAGGTAGGCAAGGGGGCTGGCATGGGCATATAGGGCCATGCAGATTGTTCTAAAGACTTGGGCTTTTTCTCTGAGTGAAATGAGGAGCTGTTGCAGGGTTTTAAGCCAAACGAACTTGATTGGACTAGGTTTTATATTTTTTTATTTATTTTATTTTATTTTTTAAAATTATAGTTGACATTCAGTATTCTTTTATATTAGTTTCAGGTGTTCAGCATAGTGGTAAGACAATGATATAATTTTAAGACGTGATTCCCCCAGTAATTCTAGTACCCACTTGGTACCATACATAGTTATTAAAATGTGAATGGATTAAGAAGTACAAATTGGTAGTTACAAAAATAATCACAAGGATGTAAAGTACAGTATAGGAAATATAGTTAATAATATAGTCCAGCTTAGATTTTATTTTATTTTACTTTTTTTAATTAAATCTTTATTGTTCAGATTATTACATTTGTTCCTCTTTCTCCCCCCCATAACTCCCCTCCTCCCAGTTCCCGCCCCACCCTCCAGCTTAGATTTTAATAGAATTATACTAGCTGCTGTGTTGAGCAAACTCTGAGCGAGGGTTAGGGGTTCGAATGGAAATAAGATAGCCAGTTAGGAGGCTGTTGGAGTAATCTAGGACAGAGAGATGCCTCTGGCCAAGGTGATGAAAGAACAAGGTGGCTAAAGGCTTTCTCGATGGATTATGCATTTAGGAAATAAGAGAAAGAGAGAAGTCAAGGATTACTCTAGGGTTTAGGCCAATGGTTCTCAACCTGTGGGTCGCGACCCCTTTGGGGGTCAAACGACCCTTTCACAGGGGTCACCTAAGACCATCCTGCATATCAGATATTTACATTATGATTCATAACAGTAGCAACAGTACAGTTATGAAGTAGCAACAAAAATAATTTTATGGTTGGGTCACAACATGAGGAACTGTATTTAAAGGGCCAGAAGGTTGAGAACCACTGGTTTAGGCTGTTGAGAAAGTTAGGTCTATTTATTGCCCACCCTAAATATTTTCATTGTTTTTCTCTTACCTCAGTATCAAGCTGTGAACTTGAATTTTTTATTGCTATTATTGCACCTACCTCTAATTGCCCTAATGTCTTCTAGACTTTAGTTTAAATCTTCAAATGCAGAAGTCTTTAAAATTGTATGTAAAATAAGGTTGTTGATTTAACATAAAAGGGGCCCTGAGACTTTGTGTTCTTCTGTTCAGGAGTGAAGGGGAGTCAGCCTTAATGCCAGGACTTGTCACAGTTGCCTTTGCACTTGAGGCCTTAAACTTTCTTCTGGGTTCACAGTGATTGAATGATCTGAAGATTAAGTTAGCCAGAAGACTGAATCCATCAATGGGAATTGCTTTATATTTACATTTCTACTTTTTTTTCTTTTTAAACAGGCAAAAGAATGGACTCCATCAGGAAAAGCAAAGAAAGAGAAATCTGCTAAGAAATTTTATTCTGAATCTGAGGAGGAAGAGGAGTCTTCCGATAGCAGCAGTGACAGTGGTGGGCTTTATAATTTATTTAAAAAACATTATTCGCTGTAGCTTACATGATATACCTCCAAGAAAAACCACAAGAAGGCCTAGTACATAAAATTCGACAAGTGAATTTAAAAAAGGTTTATGCTATTCCGATAATTCCTTTCATTTACATATCACTGTTTAGTTTTCAAAGTAATTTCCAATCCCTTTTTTTGTTTATTGTTAATCCTCACCTGAGGATATTTTTTCCATTGATTTTTAGACAGAGTGGAAGGGAGGGGAACTTGGAGACACAGAGAAACATCGATGTGAGAGAGACACATTGATTGGTTGTCTCCTGGATATGCCCAACTGGAATCCAGCCTGCAAGCAAGCCACATGCCATTGACCAGAATCCAACCTGGGACCCTTCAGTCCTTAGGCTGATGGTCTATCCATTGAGCCAGACCAACTAGGGCCCTTTTTTTTTTTTTTTAAATTGATTTTTATTTTGAGAGAAAGAGAAACACATCGATCAGTTGCCTCATGCATGAGCCTCAACTGTGGATCGAACCTGCAACCTGATTATGTGCCCTAACCAAGAATTGAATTCAAGACTCTTTGGTGCATGGGATGACACTAACCGCTGAGCTACCAGCCAGGGCTCCAGTCCCTTCTTATTTGACACTAGAAGCTCAGTGCACGAAATTCATGCACAGGTAGGGCCCCTAGGCCTGGCCTGCAATCAGGGTCTATCTGTGGGGAAACTGGCAGGGCGATCAGGGCCCCCGCTTACACCCACCTTGGCCTGGCGCCACTTGCTCACCGCCCCCACCCCCACACCGCCCTGCAGGCTGGGGGCAGCTCCTACATTGAGCATCTGCTCCCTGGTGGTCAGTGCACATCATAGTGATCGATCATTCCGCCATTTGGTCGTCTTTCTGCCATTTGGTCGATTTGCATTTTAGGGTTTTATATAGATAGATTGCCTCTTAGACACATAACTAATAAATGATAGAGTTGAAAAAGGAACTAATGCTTTTCTGAATTCTAACCCACACTACCTATTATATTCATTGGTGCATTGAAAATCCTGATTTTGCATTTGATAAGTCTTTAGTGGTGCCTTTAACAGTAACTTCCTTTTATAAAAATGTAAAGTTTATTTAAATATTGAGCAATCTGTTCTTCATCCATTTTATACTCTTATTTCTACATGAACCGATATAGAGATAAAGCTAAAATTAATAAATCCCTTGTGTATTATAAAGAAACAAAGAGTTAAAAGATTGAGAACAACCATATACAATGAAAAGAATGCTAAATCAGAATCCTGGGTTTTAGCTTTCCAAATTGAACAAGGCACTTACCTTTCTCTACATCTAATCAATGAAGAGATAGAGTTAGATGCCTTTTTAAAAAATCATTTTTATTTCTCAATTGTAGTTGACATACAATATTATATTAGTTTCAGGTGTCTTTCTCACATCTGTGTTTCCCTCTCCCTCTCCCTTTCTCCCTCCCCTCTCCCATCTCCCCTCTCCCCTCTCTCTCTGAAATCAATGGAGAAAATATCCTTGGGTGAGGATTAACCAAAAAAAATAATAAAAATAAAATACACATAAATATACTATATGCAGCACTTCTACAAAGAGTCCTATATACCATAATTTATACATTAAAAAAGTAAAAGGAAAATTCTTCATCTCTTTGACCTATGGAAAACTCCTATACTAACTAAAGTAAGTAATAACTTTAAATTAGTAATTTTGCTTGTTGCATTTGAATTTAGAAATGTTTTGAGATGATTTGAATGACTCATTTTCCTCTCAAAATTTGTTCTTAAGAAATTCAACTATTTGTTATCCTTTTCTCCTCTAAATAAAATTAACTATTATCAATAGAAGAATTTAAAATTATTTTTTTATCTCTGTATTCTTAATCTTTTTTTTTTTTTGCCATAGCTAGATACTTATAGGTTTGAGAAGCGAGATTCTCTCAGATTTAGTGTACTTACTTGGTTCATCTTTGCTTGCTTTCCTGTCATTATCAGAGCCCTCCTGTGTCTGGAGTCCCTCCACACTCACCTTGCTGCAGGGTTCCAGAAGTCCGAATGATGGGTGTTGAAACAGTGTGAACAAGTGGGGCCAGTAAACTAAATTTCAACGTCTGGTTTCATTTGTGATGAATATTGACAGTTACTTGTCCTTATGTATAAGTAAATGGCTATAAATCAAAGAGACCCTGTTTTTTTGCTTGTTTGTTTGTTTGTTTGTTTCCAGAGAGTGAATCTGGAAGTGAAAGTGGAGAACAAGGGAAGGAAGGAGACAGTGAAGACAGCAGCGAGGACTCCTCCAGTGAGAGTGAGAGTGGAAGTGAGTCAGACATAGAAAACAAAAGAAAGGCCAAGAGGAACTCCAAAACCAAAGGAAGAGGGTAAATTATTTTCCTCAAAAAATGTTCTGTGGCATTTTCCTCCAGGATAACATTTCCCTTTAACTCATAAAATGAGAAAATAAGTATGTGTATTTTTTCCTGAACAGATATTGTATCCTGTAAAATTAATTTAGAATACTAGTTCACATTATTCTACTATTTACAGTGCTTTATTTTCATTTTGAACTTGAACAAATCTTGGGGCTACATTTCAAAAACTGGTATAACCTTGGAAGGCTGAGTTAAGTGATCAGGCAGTAGGTATGAAACACTTAATTACCTTTTGTAGCAATTTTGCTGAGGGCTAAAATTAAATCCTTCAAGACTTTGCCATTACGTAACTAAGACAATTGATTTTTCTAAATAATGTTATATTAAAAAGATTATGATCCAAATATTAGAGTCAGGGGCTGTGAAGGAAGACGGTCATAAGATATTTAAGTGCTAGTGCTTTTTAAGATCTCCCATTATCAACAACATTATCGTGTATTAAAGTGTCATTAAAATTTTGAGTAATTGGGGCTGATACCTTGGATTATAAGAGTCTGTTTTCCTCCCTGCTGTCAGTGTGTGGCCTCTGCAGACAGGATGGCCCTTCCTCGGGGCCTGTTGCCCGCTCCCTTGATGAGCTTGCAGCCCAGCTCAGTCGTGGCTGACAGCACTGATTGGGGCGCAGTACGCTCTCTGCTCCTTTTATTACAGACAGTAATTAAAGCAGCTCGCCCTGCCACTTCCATAACAAACACAGCATAATACCCTAATTATGACTTTATTAATTTAAGTCAGGATTTAATGATTTTAAAAGTGATTTATATTGTTTTTCCTGTTCAGAACAAATGAAATCTGTAGGTTAAATTAATACAGGCTTTTCATCATTGCAAAGTTAAAAAGCTAGTTACCAGTAAATTCTTTTCATTAGATTAACATCTGAAACTCTAAGCAGTAAGGTAAACAATAATTACCCATCAAAATTGAGTGATGCATAACAAAATAACACTTATACCTTTAAATCTTATCTCAAAAGCTGGAAGTTAAATATATTCAGAATTACTCACTTGTTGCAACAAAGGAGTTACTTGGTTTGTAATAGACTTTTCTTTGAGAGAAATTCTGTACTTCTAGTTTAATATCAGAATAGCTATGATTACATAGTTTATAAAAAGTGTCTTATTTCTAGGAAAGGAAAGTTTGGTTCAGTGCACTCAGTATTTTTTCAGATAGCAAAAGCCAGTATGCTAGAAATTTATAACCGTATATTAGATTAGTTTCATTATTTTTTTCTTTCAGAAATGGACTTTTCTCTTTATTCATGTTTGAGTTTAAAAGAATTATTTATTGCATCAAAGGGAATCTCAGATGCATTCTAGCCTTGTATTTTTAAGTACATGTTTTAACTATTGGGGATAATAAATTGCTATTCTTTGCTAGGGGAAAAAACATATTTTTTAGTCATCAAATATAATTACATGTGCTCTGAGATGTTACCATGACTCTATTTTTAATAAATAGCAATCATATTTCCTCCACAAAAAATCAATTCTAGGAACTATCGATTCTTCCCTTGTCTCACCACTCTCCCTTCCCATGTGTTTTTCTGCCTGTCTCTCAGAATTTTTTTAAACTTTGCTAGTGTATAACTATATGGTAGTTTTTTAAAGCTAGGGAGGGAGCTTTAAGTATCTTCAAAAAACCCCTTTGCTAATCATAATTATTTTTTACTAAATTTGAGTTTTATACTCCAAAGTGTGTTCAGTTGAAGGGAGCTATTATGGTGTAGTAGGATAAATATGATCTTTAGAGTAAGACAGACATGAGTTCGAATTATAATTCTACGCCTCCTGACAATGTATCCTTGAGCAACTTACTTAATTTTACTGACTATTATCTATAATAATAAAAGCGTACTATGCTAATTAGACTGGACAGCCCAACGACCTTCTGGACGAAGCCAGGGCTGCAAGGGCCGAGCCCCTTGCACAAATTTCATGCATTGGGCCTCTAATATTTATATATATGGCTAAGTGACCGACTGACCAACCAGCCGGTACATATGACGCGCACTGGCAATTTAAAAAAGTTGACTCACTCATGCACAATACATATAAAGCTCTCGCTGGTGCCAATCGCATGCGTGTGTTTCGATCTGTCATTGTTGATCATGAATTTGGTTGTTATTGACATTCAACATGAACCACATTGCAATTTATTCATCAACTATCCAACCGACCACCCGGTAGATATGATGCCCACTGGCAATTTAAAAATAAACGGTGACTCGCAGATGTGCGATACATATAAAGCTTTTGCTGGCACCAATGGCACACATGTTTTAATTTTATAATACTACTAGAGGCCTGGTGCATGAAGATTTGTACACTGGAGGGAGTCCCTTAGCCCGGCTCTGCGGACAGGGCCAAGGCTCAGGACCAGCCCACGCCGCGACCTCTCCCTCACCACCTCCTCTCCCAAACTGCCTCTGTGAAAGGGGCCTTAGGGCTGGATCAGCCCCTGCCACCACCTCTCCTACGCGGGCAGGCCCTCGCAGCAGCTGTGGCTTTGTCTAGAAGGACATATGGAAGACGTCTGGTCTAATTAGCATATTACCCTTTTATTAGTATAGATATTATATATACTATTTTGACATGTAATTTTTGCAGTACTCTAATTACTGCACGAATCTTTCTGCTAATTTCCTTTCAATATGCATGAATCTGTACATCGGGCCACTAGTAGGATAATGATTCTCAGTAAAAATATGGTGGAATGTCTATATTAGATGATTGGTATGCAGTTCTTAATATGCCTGGCACAAGATACATTCTTTTTTTTTTTTCCAAATTGTAAGAGATAGTTTATTTAGAAAGTGTCAGAGGTAGTAGAAGTGAGCCAACTGGGCTGCATAGGCTCAGGAAACAAGTTACAGAGGCAGAGGGGCCCTTGGAGCTCTGGATGGAGAATGGCACAGCTAACAAGCTTTGGGGGAATTAAAAAGGGGGAGTGGAAAGTTCCCGTAGGCTCCTGAGAGGGAGTGCACCTGCTAGGCTCTTTGCCTTGAGGGTTTTAAAGACTGGGAATTTAGGGGAGATCTTGGGGAAGCATCTCAATAGGATATTCATCAGCTTTATGCTGATGTGCCAAAATGAGATTTATTCCCAGTGACTTCATCTGTTCTTGGGTATGATGGGCACAAATGGCACTAATTGGATTTTTGTTATCTTACCTTTGGTTGGGAAGAGAAGTGTAAACCATTAGCACTAAGCGTCCTTGATTTACCAGATGGCTGTAAGCTGTTTGTCCATTTAACTGTCTCAGTTTCCCTATTCTGTTTGTCCTGGCTTATTGGCCTGTCTCATTTCTTTCTCAGAGAGGTCTATCCCTGAAATCTGTTAAGGTTGCTGAGGGAGGTCAGTTGGTCTTCAGTAACTGCTTCCTGCTGACAGGGCTGTAGTCCCTGCACATACAGGGTATGGAAATCTTTTCCTGCCTGATCTAAGTGAGACAAGGGAATGGGAACCCAGACTGGAACAGTCTGTTAGCTGATTCTTCCAAAGTAGTGATGGTCCAGAATCCCCAAAGCATCATTGTCTTAATATCTAATTGTTATATCCAGAATCAAAGTTGGTAGATTGCTCCATATTTCATTAACTTAATCATGTAGTCCTGATACTAAGTCAGTTCAATGAAATTGTTGAGTCTCAATTCAGAAGAGAGTGATGCAGGTGGGCTCCCAAAGTGAGACCAATGTTGGGTAAACAGCAGTCAGGTATTTAATAAGGGTATGCCTCTGAAAACAGAAGGAAAAAGACAAAGGTTAATGACCAGAGCAAATTACAAACCAGTTTCTAAGTCTGTAAGGCTGTCAGTTGAGATTTTTAGATGTAAGTCGCAAAGTTGTTTTATTTTCTAGAATGAAAGCAAGCAGTGACAATCTGATAGATTCTCTTTATCTGCATATCTTATTTGAATATCTCTGGAGATGTAAATTCTGCATGGTTTACATAACATCATTTATGATGGTTATGAATGAGCTGTTGTGGCTATTTCTTAAGGTTATATCAAGTTCTTTGGCTATAATTTGCAAATACAAAGCTCAGAAACAAAATTTTTAGTTCTCAATAATTCCAAGTCAAAGGATGGGATAGAAAAGAAACATTAGTTTAGAAGGTTATAGCCAAATATTAAGAAAACAAAAAAAATTCATAATTCAGTTCAGTTTATGGGTGACAAAATTTTGAAGACAACTAACTAAATTAGATTCTAATATTCACAGCTATGTATTACAGATTCTATTGAAACAGTTTTTCCCCCTAAAATCATCCTCATTTTTACCAAAGAGCCAAATTATGACCAATTTATTTGCTGCATTAAAGCCAGCTTCATTTTGGCCTGATTATTTGCATAAATACAAGAAGAATAGTAATTTATCATATAGGCTCTCCTAAATCTTCTTTGCTGGAATCTTTTAAGGAATCTCCAGATTGAGCTTTAATTAACCCTCAGGGTGAAGAACCCAAGCTATATACACAGTTGCCATCAGGCTTTGCCTACAATACCTATAGTTCTTGAGATTCTTTCTTTGCCATCTCCCAGGAAAGCAACCTTTGTTGAGATGCCCCCCAACCCCAACATGTTCTTATGGCACACTATACTTTATTACTTACCTTACTTTCTTGTCAATGGCACCTTACTTCTCTGTGTCTTCAGGGACAGCAGACTGTGTAAGGCAGGCATGTGGAGATCATCTGTATCTTACTAACCATTGTTATCCTCAGCACCTAACAGTGCAAACATTTATTATTGATAAAACATCTTTCAGAAATAAAAATACTTTTTATATAATAAAAGAATATTTGAAATCAAAAGCAAATATTGTACTTAATAGTTTTCCCCCATTTATTTGTGGGCAATCAAATATGTGTTAAATGAGAAACAAAGTGAATGAATGAATGGCATCAGCACTTAGATTTGATCATTTGGTATTTTAAAAATTTATATTTAATTATCCTACTTTTTTTAAAGTAAGACTTAAGTGCATTAGAAGAATTCTCTTTTGAACTGGGCAACATTTTCTCATATGCTTTGTTTTAGGGTCACATTTAGGAACATAGGTAAATAATTTTCTTGGACAGAAAATTTATAAAATGCAAGTCTATATTAGCACAAGTCCATGTATAAATACTTAAACTTATTAACAAACACTTAATAATTTGAGACAGCTTTTTAAAAATCAGCCTAAGTATCTTTAAAGTCATTACTGTTAGCACTTAATATATATTCCTGGTAAATCAAACATTTAATTACTAGTTTTTTCAATTTAGGATATAATTTTAGGTTATTTTATGATCTTTTGCATTTGAGATTGTGTGATGTGGTATAATTAGTTTTGAATGGGATCTAATTTATTTGATTGTAAATACTATAACCTATATTATTAGTTCACTATATTCTGGGATTTTAAAACCATATTATCGTCTATCAATCTATCTATTTAAATATATTTTTATTGATTTCAGAGAGGAAGGGAGTGAGTTAGAAACATCAGTGATGAGAGAGAATCATTGATCAGCTGCCTCTTACTCACACCCTACTGGGGGATCAAGCCTACAACCTGGACATGTGCCCTGACTGGGGAATCGAACCATGACCTCCTAGTTCATAGGTCGATACTCAATCACTGAGCCACACCAGCCAGGCCATCATCTTTTTAAATACTAAAAAGAAGTGGTTCTCAGTGAAATACTCTTCTCTAGTGAATGTTAGGATTTATAGGCAAACTGGACAAATGTCAACATTTGTCATTTGATTTTTTTCAAACTACTTAAACTTATTTATATAAAGGATTTAAAGTTGATATTTCAAAATTTATTCTTCTACATAGTGATTCTGAAGGTGGGGAGACGGAAAATGAAAAATCTGAAACTTCAGATTCTTCCAGTGGAGAATCTAGTTCAATAGAAGACAGTTCTTCAGAATCTGAATCAAAATCAGAAAGTGAATCTAAATCCAGGAAAGTCACCAAGGTAAGAGGTTACACATTTGTTGTAATTGAAAGTAAATGTTTTCATAGCCTTTTCCCCATTAAGAATAAATATTTCTGAAAGTAGTGTTATAGAAAGTCCAAGAATCTAAGAAAGGAATTGAATATTGTCACTGACAACTAAAACACTATCTTCTTGCATCTGCACCTCTGATTTTATATTATTTTTTCTAGGTAATTGCTTCCCTTATAACTCAACCCTGCAGAGAAGTTAGAAACTTTTTTTAACCTCATCATTTGCCATGAAATTAAAGACCTCAGTAGTTATGAGTATGGCCTTTGTTGTTCTTGGCTAGGATGTGACAAAGGAGTCTTTGCTAAAGGGGAAGTAAAAGGAAGTGCAGAAATAGTATTTAGCAAAGGAATATAAATGTAAATGTGGCCTATGAAATTGAGACTAATAACCTTTTTTAAAATATCAGGTATTTTGGATAATATTTTCAAAGCTTTAATCAGAGGATATACATTCCTTAACTAATAAAAATTCAGTAGCCATGTATTTAAAAGCAAAGGTAAGAACCATTTATGTAATAGAATGTTACACTTTTTGATATATTTTTAACCTTGTGTGCTTAGCAGCAAAAAAAAAGTACAAATTACAAAAATGCTATTATTAATACAAAATTCAAACCTAATAAATCTTTCTGATCTTTAATTATTACTCCCTTCCTATAAATGGATCATGTTGATTGTAGGCTTCAAATGCATTTTTGTTTTGTTTTTAAACTTATTAATTTTATGTGTGTGTGTGTGCGTGTGTGTGTGTGCGTGTGTGTGTTTAAATTGATTTTAGAGAGAGGGATAGAGAGATAAAAACATTGATGAGAGAGAAACATCATTAATTGTCTGCCTTCTGCATGCCCCTACTGGGGATGGAGCCTGCAATCCAGGCATGTGCCCTGACGGGGAATGGAACCTTGACCTCCTGGTTCATGGGCCGATGCTCAACCACTGAGCCACACCAGCTGGGCTCAAATGAGGTTTTTAAAAAATAAACTGCATTCTATATGTTGGAAATATGGTCAAGTCTTATCTTTTAAATTGAATTCAATTTTTTTTTTGCTGAAGAAGAATTCAATAAGACAACATTTATTATTGATAAAACATCTTTCAGAAATAAAAAATACTTTTTATATAATAAAAGAATATTTGAAATCAAAAGTAAATATTGTACATAATAGTTTTTCCCCCATTTATTTGTTCTCTACTTACCAGTTTCTCATCGGAGTAGCCAAGGATGAAAATAAATCCATTGAAGTATATAATTGCCCTCCTCTATTCAGAGATTTATTGTTAAAGAATAAGCATGTTTAAAATTAATATTAGTCTTACCATCTTTCAAATATCCTTGAATATAGTAAAACCTATTTTAAATTTGAATTTATATTCAAAACTTGTCTCTATATTATATACTAAAGGCCCGGTGCACGGATTTGTGCAGAGATGGTCCCTCGGCCTGGCCTGTGGGTATTGGGTCGAAACCAGCTCTCTGACATCCCCCAAAGGGTCCCGGATTGCAAGAGGGTGGTTCTCAGGTGATGCACCCCAGAATCAGGCTCCCTCCTCTCTGGTTTTGGGTGAGTCACCTGAGAACCTCAGCTGCCAAGTCCCCGCAGCTCAGTGGCTTCTGCATTGAGTGTCTGCCCCCTGGTGGTCAGTGCGCATCATAGCTACTGGTTGGAGCGTCTGCCCCCTGGTGGCCATTGCACATCATAGATACCAGTCAGATGGTTGGACAGTCACTTAGGCTTTTATATAGAGAGACATATCTAAGATTTTTTTTCAAAAATTTACATAAAATCTTACAGGTTTATTAACCTGACCTTGTATAAAACTTATTACATAGTGAGTTTGATATCCTCTCATTTTCTACTTATATTAAATTACAAAAAGCTTAAGGTGTTATTTAAAATGAAAGAAAGGGGCTTTAGAAATTAACAGTAAGTATAACCCAGATTAAGAAGTCAGTGTTTTTAAAAATGACCAAACAAGAAATCAGTGAATGTCAAGCGGGTGGAATTAAAATGAGTTATTCTTTTTATTTTTAATTTAAATTCTTTATAGTTTAATGTATTACGAGTTATCTTACGAAGTTTTGTAAAAGTTGAAAAGTTAGTGCCTGTATAGTATTGGAAACGGGTTTAGGACCCCATTAAAAAGCCACAGAGGTACCGCGGATCAGCAGTTCAATTTGGTTCTTGTTTGTTAAAGACTATCAATGATCAGATTGAATTTCTTTATAATTGAAAATATTTTACTGTAGAATATCATTATAAAATTTCAAAGTATTTCAATGATTCAAGACTCTTGAGAAATTCAGGCTTTATTCATGTTGTTAATAGTTTTATGTCTATGTGTTTTGCTTATGTAGCTTACTTTCTCTATAATAGAATGCCTTTTCCTGTCTGTAATAGACAGACATGATGGGTTTTTTTAATTTATTAGTTAGAATATTTTCTACCTTGGAACCCCATACTTTTTTTTCTTCCTACTTTTTTCTGAGTGATTTGGAGTCTACCATGAAATTACAAGTATACCAATTTTCTAATCATTGGCAACTCTGTAATTTTAGAAGAGTCCTTCTTGCACCAAGTGTTGTGGCTTCTGCTATAAATTATGAGTAATAAAGGCAGATGGTGGGTACTTTACATTAATTTAGTAAGACAGTATTTTAGTTTTGAAAATTCATAAGATTTAAATCTGCAGCCAAACTAGATCCTATATTTTTACTCTTTTTCTTTCATTTCTTTTATTTGGACAGTGTGTTTTGGGAATACTGAGCACAAAAAGAAAACTTTAGGTACCTTGAATATGGTGGTCCTATGTGTTAGGCATAGTGTTGTACCTGTTGGGCAATAATATCTTTATCCTTCGGTTTCCTCATCTATAAAGTAGAAATGCTGATACCTACTTTACTTCTTTCAGGTACTGTTATAAAAAATCTAATGTGGAAAATCATTGTAAAGCACTATATAAATATAAAACATCAGTGTTAACTTTTTAAAAATCCTCCCCTGAGGATTTTTTCCATTGCTTTTAGATAGAGACAGGGGAGAGAAGAGGGAGGAAGAGAGAGAGAGAGAGAGAGAGAGAGAGAGAGAGAGAGAGAGAGAGAGATTTAGAGAGATTGATATGAGAGAGACACATCGTTTGGTTGATTCCCACATGCACCCCAACTGAGGCCAGGTAATGAACTTGTAACCCTGTTCGCTTGACCAGTAGTCGAACCTGCAACCCTTCCATGTGTGGGTTGATGCTCTAACCAATGGGAAACACTAGCCAGGGCAGCATTAACATATATTTACTTGTACATTAATTCCATGAGAGAGCAACAATATTAGCATTATAGAACACCAATGCTAAAAGGAACCAACATTTTTTAATAATTCTTATGTCTTCTGTATGTTTTTTTCATCTTTTTATACCATTTAAGTTATAAGTCAACATAAAGCTTGCAGCCTGTGATCTCATCCACTTCCTGCAGAATACTGAGCTGCCATATGCTGTGTCTCCTACCACTCTCTGCTCTCTAACACACAATCTGTTTACCCTTATTTTTCTTTGAATACTGATAGCTCTGAGTAAGTGACCCTATCCACTGAACCAAGAATAAGTCCTCCTTCCGTTGGCCTTGTTTTGTTGAGAATCATCAGCTTCCTTTGCACCTTTAGTCTTTTTCTTCCATAATGCTTCCTCTGCTAACCAAAGCACTCAAGTTTTTACCAGCATTTAAAGAGAGAGAGGGAGGAGGGAGTTGAAGAGAGTCAGAGACAGTGAGAGTGTGTGACAATGAGAGTTTAGAAAAATAATCTAGATATTCTCTGTCTGCTGCCTCTTAATTATGTCTTAGTCCATTTGGAATTGGTTTTCACTTTTATCACTTCTTACAGATACTGCTCTGAAAAGTCCACCGTGATCTTCCCCCAACCCAGCGGCCTTCTCTCAGTAATTATCCTTCTCGGAACTTTCATGACTCTTCCTCTACTGCTTGAAACTCTGCATCCTTTTTCTTTTGACTTGTTTGACCTCTCAGTCTTTTGATTGCTTCACTTTTACCACCTTCTGACATCCAAGTGTGAACATTGCCCCAAAGTTAGTGCTTAGTATATATTATTTTTCAAATATAGTATGATACATCATCTGTATATATGATAGCATTGTACACTTGAGACATGTATAATCTTTTTAACAAGTGTCACTCCAATAAATTTAATTTAAAAATACATTACATTAATAAATAAAAGTTAATGTGAAATATTTTGTTTTGTCTTTTTTTCTCTACAATTTTTCCTATTGTGAGACCTATTCACTCCTATAGTTTTAACTAAAACTTATATGAAGTCTTCCATAATAACATTTCTAAGTCCCTTCAACAGCTATAACATTTTTCCCCAAATTCAAGCCAATTTCTTAGATCTGTCAGGAGCCACTGGTTTCCCAAACCTATCGATATAGCCAGAAGGACACATGCTCAGCCATTTGGTACCAGACTTTTTTCTCCCAGATCTGTAGCCCCAGAATTGTCTTTGATACCCCCTCATCCTACATGTTCATACAGTTGCCAAGTTTTAGGGTTTCTGTTAGTTTTTTCTCATACCTGTTTCTTCTTTTTCTACCACTACCATTCTAGATCAGTTCTTTATTACCTCACTCATAGACCATTGCCATTGGTCATTTGCAGAGCTTCCCCAATCCCAGTCCTTCTGTGCAGCTGCAAGATTAATGCTCACATTACCTATAATGTGCTCCATTATCATTCAAGTTCAGTAAATCCTCAGACTAACATGTCCAAACCTTCCTTTCTAGACTTAAACTCCTTTGTGTTCCCTGTGTTCGGATCCCAATATACTATTTTTTGTTGTCTTAACATGCTGTATACTTTTCCGTTTCTATGTCTTTGTTCTTCCTCTTACACTTCTCTTATTATAAGAAATACAAGCTGAGGAGAAAGTGGCCACTTATAAAAGGGTGGTCCCTCCACATGTAGTTGAGAAAGACTGTATGGAATAAAAACCATTATTGATGAGAGGGTATTACTCATGTGAATGGTGTAGGGACAGTCAAATGGTAAGAATCTCTGTTCTCTGTTGAATTATGTTCCTGAAGTGTTTGTCTTTTGACACCATGCCCCAGCAGATTCATAGGACGCAAAACCATAGTCGTACATTCTGGTGTTATGTTTGTAAGATTGTATTTTTTTTTTCAGAGAGAGGAACGGAGATGGAGAGAGAGAAATATCAATGATCAGCTACCTCCCGCACACCCCCTACTGAGGATCAAGCTCATAACCCAGGCATGTTCTCTGAGCTGGAATTGAACTGTGACCTCCTAGTTCATGGGTCGACGCTAAACCACTAAGGCACATTGGTCAGGCTCTTTGTATTATTGATTGAGAGATGTCCTTAATTGAGATCAGATACTGTCAGTAATGACCAAAGAACGTTACCTTGTTTTTCAGTTACAATTATTTTGATGGGCAAGCACATTTTTATTTTTAAGTGTTTGTTTGTGAAATATCTATAATAGAGAAATATTTTGAGTCTAGTCCTTTTTATGAAATAACTCTTTTGCCCCAAATAATTGGGTTAAAAAATTTTTGGCATTTGGTCTGAGATAGATTATGGATAAGAATGGAAAGAACTGCCCTAATTGGTTTGGCTCAGTGGATAGAGCGTCGGCCCGTGGACTCAAGGGTCCCGGGTTCGATTCAGGTCAAGGGCATGTACCTTGGTTGTGGGCACATACCCAGTAGGGAGTGTGCAGGAGGCAGCTGGTGAATGTTTCTCGCTAATCGATGTTTCTGGCTCTCTATCCCTCTCCCTTCCTCTCTGTAAAAAATCAATAAAATTAAAAAAAAGAATGGAAAGAACTATTTTCTACCCTATTTGAGATGTAGGAAACAAGTTTTACTTGTGTTTTCACAAGTATTTATGTATGTTGCAATTATATAACTTAAGTGAATATCGTAGCTTATTGGTTTTTTACTCTTGAAATTCAAAGCTTTGCCTCTTTAAATTTATATCTTTCCCAGTTTAGTTGATGATGTTTTAAGTTCTCCAGAATAGAAATATTATTTGACTTCAATTGAAATCTTTAAATAATAGTAAAGTCCATTAAGCAAGCTTTCTTATTGAAGTAGATATAATTTAATAGGGTAGATTTGTTTAACAGTTTAGACTAATTTTTAACTTACAAAGAAGTCTTTATTGATAATGTACTTTTATGTTTTAAAGCACAGTGTAGTGTGAGCCTCAGATTTTTAAAATCAAAATTGTTAGATGATTTGAAGGCAAGAGAGTCTTTAAATGGTACTTGCTTGGTAATTCTAATTGAAAATATTCCATGCAAATATCTTGCTCAGTGAGGCTAAAAGTTAGCCTTGAATTTTTGTTGATTACACAGCACGGCATGGGTTTAACAAACTTTACATACTTAACCTGTTCTGTGGTTTAAATTTCAAACCTCTTTGCGATAGTTTCCTCTTAGGGAGCATATTTGGTGCTTGTCGTGTAAGATCTTTTTTTCTCTACTTGCTTTTTTAAAAAAAAATCAGCATGAAAATGAGCATGCATATTGCATAAAAAATCTTTACAGATATATTTACAGATATAATACAAACATAATTTTGTTTGTATTATTTGGAGCTTAATAAGAATTTCCAGGATCTTTTATTTATTATTTGAAATGACATATATTAAATAAAAATTAGTTTCTTAACCCTGTAACTTTGTATTTCATTTTGAGAATGTTGATGTGTTGAGGTGTATAATCGAATACCATAGAAACAAAATGGGGACTTGAGGGTGATGAATTGATAACTAGGTATTTTTGTAGTGAGATTTTAAGATCAGTTACTGTTGTCCTTATAAAAGACTAATACAGTCACTCAGCTGTTAAAAACCTAATTCTCTATTTAAAAAAATATATACAGAAACAAATTATCTGTGTTTCTGCCTGATATCTTCTCAAGTACTAACACAATGGAAACAGTGGGTGATCTGTCAATGTGTTTGGTTTGTCAATGATGGTTTTGTATAAATATTGGGAGGGTAAGGAATAAAATTCACACAGTAAAATATGATTTCATCTGCCTTTTCTCTGCAGCTCCATGGCTCATGCTGCGGTGTGAAATTCTCATTTTACACACTTTGCAGGCGGAGCACATGAATTATGCATTGAGCAAGAAAAATCTCCTGCCTCAAGTCCTATATGCATTTACCCAGGTTCTGTCTCTATTACCAAGATGAATTGCAAATGGAGAAATGTTTGATGGAATAGGGCTCTTAACTTCTTTGTTTAGAATTCAGATTTTTATTTTTATAGTAGATCCTTTAAGTATGAAAATGTTTTGAACTTACTATGGATTTTTTAAAATGAAAAATGAAATATAACATAAGAGAGGAATGCCAAGCACATCATGAAGCTTTTTATAGCCTTGATTCAAAATGCAAGGCTTTTTCAATTTAGTAGAAATGACCATTATCTATTGCTAATGTTGTATTTCAGTCATTGGTTATTTGCTGTTCTCAGAAAGTCAATGAAATTCTGTCCTTTTGAGAGCCATTTTTTCTTTATGTTTTAGGTTTTAAACCAATTTCACGTGCAGCTCTGTCCTGTGTTGTATGTGACCTGATGTGTATTTAATAGATACTGTTACAAACTCTTAGCTGTGAAGTAGAAAATAAGGTATAGACTTGCCTGCAGCTTTAACTTTATCTCAATTGGAAAGGTTTCTAATTTTTCAGGTAGGGAGGTTACAGTTCCATAAAGACAGTCATGCACCGTTGTAGCTTATAGGAAGCTACATCCATTGTGCTCAGCATAGCATGTTGGTAAGCCACAGGGTGATAAGCTCTTTTTGTTATACATTCTTTCTTCACAAGGATGATATTGTAGTTGAGATGACATTTGCTTTCTGAGCCTGTTTTTGTTACTTACAGCTTTTACGTTTCAGCTTCAAAACTAACATTTCTTCTTTTTTTCCCGTAGCCCTAGAAATTGTTATTCATTTGAGGTGTGGAGAGAGGGGTAAATGCTGTTTATAATAACTAATGAAAATTAAAACCCATCTAGTTGATTTGGAGTTTTTGATGGCAGAAATAATTAACTTGAAAAAAAAATCAATGCAGATGTTTTTATTTAGTGTTTAATATGTATTATTGTGTGAGTCTTGAAAATATTTTTTTCTGAGTATTGGCAGTAGGGGAAAAACAAACAGAACTTAAAATCTTTTTAAAATGTTACTTAACATGAAATTTGGTGTATTGCTCTTGTTCACATAGGCATGGTGTAGTAATAGCTTGCTAAATTTTCATGGTTAGAAAAAATACTTCAAACATATTTGTAATAATTTACATATACAATAAGCTATAAATTCCTTTGATAAATTATAAGTTATCTGAAGTAGGGACTATGACTGTTTTGGGTATGTTATTTCCATTGCTTAGCACAGAATCTGATACATATAAAAAATTCTACATATATTTATTAATGAATGAGTGAATGAATGAACAAACAAAACAATTTAGCAAAAACTTAAGTTTTGGCCTTTAATTTGAGAAGATTTAATGCAAAAAGAAGGTAAACATTATAAAGAGAAGTGATGACCTTGATTCAAATACATCTATTTAACACCCTAATCTTTGTTTGTCTTTAATTGTTGATGATGCTACTCCGTACTGCACTTAATTTTTTTTAAAAGATTACACATTTTTTTCTGAATCTCTAAGCAAACTATGTATGCCTCAGGCTTAGAGACATTTTTCTAGTCCATGGTTATCCAAGTTTCAAAAATACAGTAGACTGAATAAGCAAATCTGAGGTAGAAGAAGCCCTAATTGCCGAAACCGGTTTGGCTCAGTGGATGGAGCGTCGGCCTGCGGACTGAGAGGTCCCAGGTTCGATTCCGGTCAAGGGCATGTGCCTGGGTTGTGGGCGCATCCCCGGTGGGGGGTGTGCAGGAGGCGGCTGATCGATGTTTCTCTCTCATCGATGTTTCTAACTCTCTCTGTCTCTCTCCCTTCCTCTCTGTGAAAAATCAATAAAATATATAAAATAAAATAAAAAGAAGAAGCCCTAATTATGTGCAGGTATGTTTTGAAATACTTCTCTCCCCAAAGGAAAACAGTAAAGAAACTTAGTGAATTCTTTTCATCCTAAAGAGCATGAACCTGAAAATGTCCGGTCAGGCCCACTTATAGATTTTAATGAATACCTTTGGCAGAAGAAGTCTGACACAACCAACCCCGTGTTGAAATATTAAGTACCTAGTACCATGTATGTCACAAACTACATCTCAGCAAGGCTAAACTATCACATGCCATTGACCATCTCATATATTGTTTGTTTTTTTCTTAAATCAACTTGCTTAAAAATTATTTTCAAAAATATTTGTACTCTTTCTAACAAAGAGCCACATTACTTTTTTTTCTTTTTTTTAGAGAGAGAGAGGAGGGAAGAGAGAGAAACTGATTTATTGTTATACTTACTTATGGATTTGTTGATTTCTCCTATGTGCTTTTACCAGAGATCAAACCCTCAACCTTGGCATATTGGAGCAACACTCTAACCAACTGAGCAACCTGGCCAGGGCCACATTACATTTTTTATGTTAGCAAAACGTTGTCTGATTATAAAATAATTCTTTCCCTTTAAGTTTTCTTTTGAAGGTTCTTTATAATCTTTAAACACAAAATCTTTTAAAATAATTAACAGTTTGCATGGTGGTTAAGAAATACCGTATGCTAACCAAAATAAAAATTTTGTTTCAAAACAACCATTTTGTGTACCTACATAGAAGTTTGTTTTTCTTATAAGATTATGCAGAGGAAAACGTTTGTTTTAAAACATAAAGGACTACCTCATAGGTTTTTTAAAATAGAACATGCAATAAATATATATTTCTTATTTTATAGGAGAAAGAAACAAAAATAAAGCAAGATAGAAATCTTGTTACCAAAGATGTTTCACTTCTTGATCTAGATGATTGTAAGTATTAAAATTAAAATTTTTTCTTCTGTGTTTAATGACATGTTTTATTTTTGGAATACCTTTCATTTACATGTCTCCAAGTATATTAACATCTATTATAAAAAAATTATAATACATATAGCAAGAAAATTTTAGAAATTGGTTTTATTAGTATCTTTTAATCTAATATCTTTATTAGTATCTTTTAATCTAATCTATGTGTTACTTATAATTGTTCAGACAAAAGTGCACAAATTATTTTTAAGATCTTTTGCTTTAGTAATTTATACTTGTTTTAGTAAATAATTATCTATATTTTACAACTTCCTACATTGTTAAATGTTGACTGTGGGGATTGAAACATTTAACTTAAGGAGGTAGGGAATTAGGAAAGTAATTACAAATATAAAGTACACCACCATCTTCCACTTGCCACACTTTTGATGGAAACAGAATTAGGTACAAAAAGCTTTTGGAGGCCAGTATAGCTATACCTATCAGTATTTTAACTGCAAAAAAATCTTTGTCTCAGCACAACCACTTCTAAGAACTTAGAATCATACAAATATACTAACCCAGGTGTGCAAAGATGTATACCCATCTTCTCCTTTGTTGTGAGAAAGAGATAGTGGAATTGACTTTGTTGGTAGGTACATTTTGCACTACAAGAGTAACAAGTAAGACTTAATGAATATTAAACTACTATCATTTTTCAATATAGTTTTCCCATGCTAGAGGTGAGTTATGTTTGTAGGTTGTTTCATTCTTATAAACAGAACATAAAGGTGTTGTATTTATATCATTTACCTGGACTGTTTCATGACAAATTCCTTAATATAGGGAAATCAAAATATATGATACAGAGACATACTTAATATAGAGAAATTAAAATAAAATTGGAGCCAAATTTGGATAATTTTTCATGTATTGGCGAAGATTTTAAAGTTTACATCATTTTTTAACTATTGGCGAAGATTTTAAAGCAACATCCATTATTGTAAAGGTTTAGGAAAACCGGCATTCTCCATATGTTTTTGATAGGCATATAAATAGGTGTAGCTTTTTGGAGTCATTCTAACAATATCTATTAAAATTTAAATTGTATACGCCTACCAATTTTGACCTAGAAATTCTTTTCTAGGAATTTATCTTACAGATGTAGTCAGGGATCCAGATACCTGAACAGGTAACAACTTATATAAGAGATAAAATAGAGTTGCAAAGTATAGTAACAAAATGAGGAGGGAAACAAAAAGCTACAAAGGCTTGTGGCAGAAGTATGATCTGCACTTACAGATACAGACAAGTGGAGTGTTATGGGAGAAAGCATTATTGATAATGGCTCTTAAAATATTGACTTCATTTTATACTACTTATTAGCCTGCATATATTAGTTCTCCATTGTCCATGGCAAGCAGTTTGTTGATCAAAAATTAAAAAGTTACTCTCCATTTGCATAAGTTCTAAGCTGTGAGAATTTGATAAGTTTTGAAAGGGGGGCAGAGCCCTAGCAGGTTTAGCTCAGTGGATAGAGCATTGACCTGCAGACTGAAGGGTCCTGGGTTTGATTCTGGTCAAGGGCACATGCCCAAGTTGCGGGCTTGATTCCCAGTCGGGGGTGTGCCAGTCAGTGATTCTCTCTCATCATTGATGTTTCTGTCTCTCCTTCTCCCTTCCTCTCTGAAATCAATAAAAAAAATTTTTTTAAAGGAATTTAAAGGGGGGGGCATCTTGTTTCATATAAGAGGTACATCATAATCCACAGAGGTTATTTGTTCATTACACACTACATACCAGGAAAACTGCAAGTACTAAATTTATCTGTCTTCATTCAGAAAACATTTATTAAATAAACACTTGCTATGATCTAGGTAATCTGCTACATGCTGGAGTGTCTAAATGGATACAACATTGTCTCTACCCAAGGAACTCTCAGAATGTCATAGGTGAAACACATAAAGTGGCCATTAGATTGACACATTATAAATAAAATGAGATAGAGATATGCCCAGAATGCTGTTGGGTATTGGAGTATACCTAACCCACCTAGCAGTTTCCAGATATAACATAACGCTTGAGCTGAGTGTAAGAATTAGTAGGCAGTTGGAGGTAGGAGAAGAAAGTAAGGGAAGTAACTGCAAGGAAGAGTAAGAGCTCTCTGGTGCCTGAAATAATCATTGTTTCTCTCTGAGGAAGTGTACTTAGCAACCCTAGCAATGGTCTGGCTACTAAAAACAGTTCTGTGATTTGAATAAGTAACTTGATATTTCCTTACTCTATCTGTTGAAAATCAGAGCCCTTTAATCAATTGAGTTAATTTGTGTCTCATTTTATTCATTTGTAAAGTAAAAAATAAATGGCTGATAATTTCTACAGTTCCTTTAGGTTATGAAATTACATGACTATTTCATGAGGTCAGTTGATAATACATTAGAAAATATTTACGCTGAGGTAATGTATGGCCTTATGATAGATTAGGCTTAGAAGTAGCAATATGCCTTCTCTTTTCCAGTCATATTTTATGTTTATAGAAATTAAAATATTTTTTAGTACCCCATACCATGTCATCACAATAGGATGATCATAAAGCAGCAATCATATTCTGGTGCTCTTTTATAGGAAATGTAAACCTATGTAATTACACTATTACTACAACTAACTAATTGTGAAGACTTTTAAAAATTTATATCACCCGACAGTAATCATGCTTCAGATATGCCTTATGATATGTGATATCATATTGTTGAGTAAATTGCAGTACAGGCAGTAGCGTGGAGTGACTAAGAGGACAATGGGGCCTGAGTTCAAATCCCAGTTCTATTACTTACTAGCTGTGTAACTTTGGGCATGTTATTTAATCTCTTGTTCTTTAGTTGCTTTATCTATAAAATTGGGATAATAGCAATACTTTTTTAGAAGCATTAGTAGGATTAAATTAGTTGATAAATGTAAAAGCACTTAAATCTGTGCTTGGCATGTGATAAGCATATGTAAGGGTGAGCTATGATGGACAGAGATGATGCCAACAAAGATGCCAACCAGTTAAATGACTTCACATTAAATTATTATATGTGAAAGTTTTACTTCTTAAAGTTTAAAGCAAAACTTTAGTCAGAAAAATAATTATATAATTATTTTATTAAGTACACTTTAATAAAAAACTTTTTGTAGAGGTTTTTTCCCCCTCTGAACTTAATGAAACTGGCAAAAGCCCTGTATGCTACCAAAAATATTTTAATTTCTTATTTTAAAAAAAAAGAAAGAAAAATAAAAAATGGGTTTTAATCCAAATACCTGGGTTTACATTCTGACAATCAGTTCAAGTTCTTTCGAATTCCTCTTCCAACAGATTGAATCATACTGACACACTGTTTTGTTATTTGCTTCTTTCTCTGTTTATCATACACATTCCTTTCCATGCCATAAATATTCTTTAACAACCTTATTTTTAATGACTGCATGGTTATTCTTTATATTGTTGTAATAAATTCTCTTTAACAGGTTTACTATTGTTACACATGTAACATGTTTCCATTTTTTGCTATCATAATCAGTGAAGCAATACACATCACCATAAGTATATTATTGCATTATCTCCATGACTGTTTCCTTAAGATAAATTCCCAGGAGTAGAATTGCTGGGACAAACACTTTAAAGAATTTTGTTGGTAAAATTGCCTTCCACAAAGCTTATACGACCTTATACAGTATTAGTATGAGAGTGCCAGATTCCTTATACCCTTACCTTTGCTGAAATTTGTGTTATTTAAAAATTGCCTTTGCCAAAATGATAGGTGGAAATGGTATCTCATTTTAATTTCTATGCCATGTTATTTAAAAAAAAACTGCATAGCCAAAACCGGTTTGGCTCAGTGGATAGAGCGTCGGCCTGCGGACTGAAAGGTCCCAGGTTCGATTCCGGTCAAGGGCGTGTGCCTGGGTTGCGGGCACATCCCCGGTGGGAGATGTGCAGGAGGCAGCTGATCGATGTCTCTCT